TCCACCCATCCTTGTTTTAAAAATAAAATAAATCACTTAAATATGAATATTGCTCTCTCAGCATTGGTGATCTTCCTCGCAGCTTTTGCACCCATCTCTTCTGCTACAACAGAGGTTCCTGCAGAGAAGTCGCAGTTAGAAGCTTGGTTTTCCGGACATGTGAAGCCCTTGGCCGCCCGCAAGGCGGAGCTTGATCCAGCCCTCGTGGCCGCTGAAGAAAGCTCCACCGTCGTCAAAGTAAGGGCCGACGGAAGTGGAGACTTCAAGACTGTCACCGAAGCCATCGCCAGCGTTCCCGCCGGTAACACCAAGCGCGTCGTGATTTGGATTGGGGAAGGAGTTTATAAGGAGAAGCTTACGATCGAGAGAAATAAGCCTTTCATTACCCTTTACGGTTCCCCTAACAATATGCCAAACTTGACATTTGATGGAGATGCCAAAAAATACGGCACCGTCTACAGTGCCACTTTGATCGTCGAGGCTGAGTATTTCGTTGCTGCCAATCTCGTGATCGAGGTAATTTGTCAATTAAATGCGTTTTAGGGTTAATTGGGTGTCGTTTTCTGATCAATTTTTGAATAAAATCAGAACACTTCTCCAAGACCGGATGCGAGAAAAGGAGGTCCGGCATTGGCGGCGAGAATCAGAGGGAATAAAGCCGCAATTTACAACTGCAAATTCATAGGGTTTCAAGACACCCTGTGCGACGACGACGGGTTGCATGTGTACAAGGATTGCTTCATTCAAGGCACCGTGGACTTCATCTTCGGGAAGGCAACGGCCCTGTATTTGAACAGTCAGCTGAATGTGTTGGGAGTCGGGGGATTGGGAGTGATTGCAGCGCATTCAAGAGAAAAGGAAGACGACCCGAGTGGGTATGTGTTTGCGCATTGCAGCATTACAGGCACCGGCGGGCCAAACACTTATTTGGGAAGATCTTGGAGGCCCTGGTCCAGAGTTGTGTTTGCCTACACCACCATTGCTGACATCCTTCATCCCGAAGGCTGGGACGACATGAACAACCCGGCTTTTGACAAGACAGTTTTCTTCGGAGAATTTAAGTGTTCGGGGCCGGGAGCGGAGACGAGCAAGCGTGTAAAATTCAGCAAACAGCTGAGTGAAGCACAAGCGAAACCCTTCATCAACCTTGATTACGTGCAGGCCCAAAAGTGGCTGCTTCCTCCTCCCAAACTATAGGCTTTCACAGTTGCAGGAAGAGTGGCTTCTCACATAACCTCTCCGCAATCGATGGGGTTGATCATTAATTACATTCTTTCTTATTTTTTTCCCTTTAACAATAACATGTCTGTAACCTCATCCATTCATATTGAATTGTAATGAGATGAAATAAATAAAATT